TTTCAGCTTTCTCAGGGCTTGGTATGCAGGACGAAGGTCATTTACTAAGAAATGACCTTCGACCTCTTCAGCAAGACCTATTAAAATATTCCTTGTTCCTTCTAAACAGAGACCGAGTTCTACGCACCTGAGAACGGTGTAAATCTCGATCCCCTGTCAAACGAGCCGCACGGCAAGCATCTGCGGCTTCTAGTGTATCCTGTGAGATAAAATTCTGTATTGTCCAAGGGCGTTCACCAATCGACTCTTGGGCTGCATCAAGCGTTTTGCACTTGAAGGTGTCAAGAAGTACAGGTCCGTCAGCTTGTCGAAAACTGTGAAACGACCAGAGATTGCCTCAGCAAACCCCCGAGCACATTCCTCCTTCAGCCTGTTCAGATGGAACACCCTAGGTGGATCATTGGACCACTGGGGAGTTTTGAAGTGACCCGGAGGGAGCCACAACCAATCAATGGTCAGTACCAGAGAACTCGCACTCCTATACACCCTGCAGTTCTGGAGGATCCTCCAACGAATGCTAACGAGTATGTGGTCGATCTCATTACTGTACCATGTCCAACGATGTGGGTCTGGACGCTGGTACCAGGAGCCAGAAATCCTCAATTTCTGGGACCTTTGCAAAGTCCCAGAAAAGGAGGCTAGTCTCGCTGCCGGTTTCAGCTCCTGAACCATGAGGATCGATAGACATCTCATAGCCAGCTCGATCACAGCCTGATACTGCATTGAAGTCACCCAGGACAATACGAATATCCCGCCAGTGATAGCTGTCTGCTACAGATGCAAGTTTGGTGTAAAACATCTCTTTCACGTTAAGTTTACAAACATCGGTAGGAGCGTACACAGTAATAAGAGACATGAAGACATGAAGTTTCAGTCTCAATACCATTATATGGAGTAACCTCCACCACTGAGGGCTGGAGCCTACTGATGACCTATGGCTACTCCCTGAAGATGGTGACCATCGCTGCGGCCTGACCAGTAATAGGAATAGCCACCTACATTGATCGTGCCGCTGCCAGGTCTTCTCACCTCCGAGAGAGTAGCCACCCCAACTCTCAGCCTCCCCAGTTCCTTCGATAGTGGAGGCCGATCATCCTGACGCAGGCTGGCGACTGCCAGAACGCAGGCCGGACGAGTAGCTCCTGTTCCCATCCTGCACCCCTGCATTTCCCTTCCCCCCGGCATTAGTAATTACATAAGACGTTGCCGATGAGGTTATCTCTCTCTCTCTCTCTCTCTCTCTCTCTCTCTCTCTATATATATATATATATATATATATATATATATATATATATATATAGATAGATAGATAGATAGATAGATAGATAGATAGATATATTAATATATATACACATACAACATATATATACACGCACACACACACAAATATATATATATATATATATATATATATATATATATATATATATATATATATATACGTAAAGGGAGAGTGAGATGTGTATATATACATATATATGTATTTATATATGTGTCTATGTATATATATATATATATATATATATATATATATATATATATTATGTGTGTGTGTGTGTGTGTGTGTGTGTGTGTGTGTGTGTGTTGTGTTGTAGAGACTTATTTTTTGTTACACGAACGCGCCCCGGATTCATGGATTCGCTTACGCGAAACGGGTGGTCGTGTTGCCCACTTGGGGTGTTCACTTTTTTTTTTAATGGCTTTTTCTGATGCCCTTTTGGCAAGCCCTTGCCCTTTTTATAAACGCCTCACCTCCAGAAGTATGTATATTAAGTTTGGGGTCCGAGAGGAGTGCATTTAACCCACACTCAAACCTCGTACAATTTGGGTACTTGGCAACCCCTGCCGTGACGCGCCATGGAGTCGCCACAGAGGGCAGTTGGCGGGTGATCTTGACTGTGGAGAGGTGTGAGTGTGGGCTGGGGTTGACTCCTGATTTTCTGATTTTCGCTTCTCTGTGATATTTTGTGATATACTGCGGTGCTACCTTGTTGCCAGTGGTTTTCCGTGCCTCATCTGTGATTTCGAGGCTATAGTAGCAGTAGTGCTTCGTGAATAAAGCCGTGCACATGAACAGTATTTTGTATCCACTCCTGTAGGAGGTAGAAATGGCCGGCTTTTCCCCATGCCCACGGCCACATCTTACTCACGGTTCGAGGGTTACTCGTCAGCTCCTGTAGTAGGGTAAGTGTCAGTGCCCCCACACTTTAACCACACTACAGATTCGTGGTGGCAGCGGTGGGATAGGGTTTTTGTTTACTTCCCTGCCCAAGCCTTGTTTTTATTGTATTAACTCTTACTTAAATTTCATGGTTTTAGTATTTTCTTGTTTTATACTTCATATTTTGGGTAATTTTTGTTTTATTGGGTTTATTCCCAGCTGTCAACTTTAACTTTTATGGGTAATTGTGTCTTAGCAGGTTTTACTGCTTCTTGCTCTTTTTTTTCTCAGGTTTCATTTTATTGCTTTTTCGATTTTAATTGTTTTAGTGGGTACTTG